ATAGGCCACACCCACAGCATAATAGGCCACACCCAACAGCAGAAACTCATTAGCATATTAGATCACACCCCTGACAGCACAGCTCAATAGCATATTAGGCCACACCCCCATGTTACCAGAAGTGTGGTCATCCAGCCATACCCACCTTTTGCTTCTTATTCTGTTTACTTTGTTTATTGTCAAAACCCAGGGCTTTTTTGTAGCAGGAACTTCTTTGCATGTTAGGCCACACACCCCTAATGTAGCCAATCCTAATGAGTTTCTGCTGTTGGGTGTGGCCTATTATGCTAATGAGTTCCTGCTGGGCGTGGCCAACTCGGGAGCCAGCTGGAACTCCGTTCCTGTGCGTTCCTGCCCAAAAATAGCCCTGATGCTGCTGGGTCCTTCTTCATACCCTTTAGTGTAGTAACTGCTGTTGTGTTAAGGTCTAAGCCAAGGAGGAGCTGATCATACAGGAAACTGTAGGAATCTGTCTCCAGATCTCCTAAAATCATGTTAAATCTGCACTGAGGAATTGGAAAAGAAGCTGTTCTGTGGGAATTTTTGTCTCAGACCAGCTATTTAATAACATTGTCCCCTAGCCTCACATGATACCAGTATCTCAACAGCACTAGAACATCCCAGCTATTGGAGGCATTGATGAGAAAATTTAGGTACTTTTGTTTTTTCTAGAAATGAATAGTGAAGATTGATCAGCCCAATAGTTCAAAATACCTGGTAGTCAGAGTAGAGCTAGGGAATTTTTGTCAAATGATGAAGGATGTTATACTTATGATACTTTACTGGAATTACTAATGTAGTTGAGCGAAGGTGCAGAAGTGTGTTGGGTCTGAGTCTCTAATCTCAACCGTGAAAAAAGGCCAACTGAAAATAAAACATCTAATATTGTAACATCCCTGTATATATCTATGGTGCAGCCTCATTTGGAATGCTGTGTGCAGTTCTGGTCACTGTTTTCTCCGAAAGGATATGGCAGAACTGGAAAAAAGTACAAACGAGGGCAATCAAGGTGATTAGGGGGTTGGAGGACCTTTACTGTCAGGGAAGTCTGAAGAGTCTGGGACTTCTCAATCTAGGGAAAAGATGGCTAAGGGGAGATATGATGGATGTTAATCTACAGTAGGGTTGCCAACCTCCAGGGGATGGCTGGAGATCTCCTGGGATTAAAACTGATCTCCAGGGGCAGAAATCAGTTCCTCTGGAGACTACACTTTGGAAGGTATAGTCTATGGCATTATGGTCCCTCCCTTGCCTCCATTAGCTATATGGGGGAGTGGATCTACTGGATAAGAAATATGGATACAGCTAGTCAGCAAGATATTAGTGTTTCTTCTTGTCAGGTCAGTGAGGCTCAATTAGCATCCTACAGGTCACATCTAGCTCTCTCAGTACCAGTTTACCTACAGATGTAGCGCTGTCCAGGCCACAAGCAGCATGTGAGAAACCTATGTGCTACTTCTGACCTAGCAGAGTACCTCCTGATATAAAATGAGGATGTACTTACGTGCATGCATGCATGTGTTCTCTTACTTCATGGCTCTTTGAATGGCTTGATGGTGGTCTGTAGACTGTAAGAAGTAAATTTTATGACATGATTTTTTTTTGTTTTCTCTTTGCAGGAACTTAAATCAACATGTCTTTTGTATCAGAATTTCTGAAGCAGGCCTATTTTATTGACAACGATGAACCACAATATGTTGTAAGAGCTTCCAAACAAGACAAAATGCAAATGATATAAATCAGTTTATAGAGTATAATTAAATAATAGCAAAAGTATAGCAAAAGTAAGGCATTTACATTGCATGTCAACTAATGTTGGTAGGAACGGGATTCTGTAAGAATCCCAGTATTGGTAAATTCATATCATTGAACAGATCTAAGAGTAAATGTCGACATGCTGTGTAAGCTGTGATAGACAAATCTGGATTGTCCACCAAATTGTAGCTTCAGAGACCACTCACTGATCCTCTAGACAATGTCATGATTCTCATCATTTGGGGACGGCAAAGGACAAGGCTCTTTGAAGTCATCTTCTATTCATTTCTGCTGAGTTTATGAAAGAAGACAGATTCTGTTGAATTTAGTAACTCTCCCATTTTTTAAATTAATGGCATTAGTCTCATAACTGTGGATTGGCACAATTACCCCACTTAAATTAATGTCTCCAAGTAGCTCTTTATATTGTAATATATTCTAATAGAGCCTATTGTTTATTTTACATCTTTAGAAAACAAAATTCACCATGTTGATTTAAATGTAAATGACTGTGGATTTTTTGGATGGAACTGTAGAACAAACACGTATTTTTCATCAACAAGTATTTATTCAGTGTTGTTCTCTTTTAGAAAAGCACTAAAGGTGGTTCAGCAGTCAATGCCTACCCAAACTTCAATCCTTCAGCTGATGCTGCGGCACTGGACAAAGCCATTACTGCTAAAGGTAAGAAGGATGTAAGAAGTGTTTAGATGGTATGAAAACAACTCAAAACAACTTGCTTGGGATGTGATTCAGCCTGTACGTACATGTGTGCATTACTTGTTTAAACAGTCGTTTTCATGGCAGAATTTCCCTGCATATGGAAACCTAACACATCAGGGAGGCAGTTAGCTTTTTATGTACAGGAGTATTTTGAAGTTTCAAATTATTGGTGTGAGATGGCTAGCTACAAAGCTACAGAGCTGATCAGATGTGTGGTGACATACTGGAGGGCTGGGGGGCAAAAATGTTGGAAGTGGGATTTTGTCACGCCCAAAATGGTTTGTAATTGTAAAAAGGACTTGGTCCTTTGTTTTTATCAAAGCACTATACTGATATCAATAATCTTTTGCATACTGGGTCCTGTAAAATGGAATGATGCTATTACATGGAATTGTTCTTTTCAGGAGTTGATGAAAAAACTATCATTGATATTTGCACCCAAAGAACTAATGCCCAGCGCCAGCAGATCAAAGAAGCCTACCAGCAATTAAAGGGAAAGGTACAGTCTGTAAAAAAAAAAAAAAAAAAAGAGGACCCTTAAAGGAATTTGTATTTGGTGACATCTGTGTCTGTGACAACAGGGTTGAAGTGAAGAAGAGCAGGTAGAAGAAAGGAGGAGGAGGTCACCAGGCCTTAGGGGGCTGGGATCTTTTTGGTTGTTGTCATGACAGTATGAGCAAACCTGGTGTAGTTGTGGACAAAAACGTACCAGGTGAACAAGGCTTACAAGAATGTTATTCCTGTTGGAGGGAAATCATAATACATAATTTGAGGGTAGATTAAAATTAGGAGGTAGATTCAAGTACTATTTTAGAATCTGAATTCTTTCAATGGCTGTTTTACACTTTATGTTCCTTTCTCCTGTAGCCTCTGGAAGAGAGTCTGAAAAAAGCACTCAAAAGCAATTTAGAAGACGTTATTGTGGCATTGCTGAAGAAGCCTGCTCAGTTTGATGCTGAGGAGCTCAGGGCTGCCATGAAGGTATGTGTGAGGACTGGGCTTGGGTGGCCATTGGACCAGGAGGAGAGTTGGTCCTCTGGGCTAATGATGCAAAAGCACATCCCATGAATACTCTCCCATGTCATGCTAGCTGAAAAGACAGAGCATTAAGTGGGTTCCGTTGGCACCAAGAAACCAGCAGTGTGTATCAGGTCACCTACAATCTGGATCCCTCACATACATATTATGCACTTGGTCAACAGGATCCCTTACAAGGACAGCCTCAGCCATGGGGCAAGCGGGTCAGTTGTCCCATCCCTGAGCTGTGGGGACTCCCTGATGGCCCAGCTGGCATAGACGGTGCCCAGGCATCAGCAGCAGACCCTGGTGCCCCCAGTGGCCCTGACTGCTCTGCCAGCACCTCCTGAGGGGCAAACTAGACATGACTGCGTCCTTGTGGCCACCACAAGGATACCACTGCAGTGCAGTGCTTTTGTCCCCCCCCCACCTTTTCAAGTGATGCAGGTGGGGAGGGTGGTCGTTTTGGCACTAGATAAGGCATGGTGGGGGGAGGACAAGAGTATTGCACTGTAGGCCTAGTCAGGATTGGGCCCTCATGGCATTTTTAAATTACTTTAAAATGACAGTGGCATCCTTACAGCAGCTGCAAGGACACCATCTCATCTAGTAGGGCCCTGAGTCTCAGGCAGATCATAGGGGCCATCAGCTTGTTCCCATATAACCATTGTTCAGAGTCATACCAGCAGTGGCATGCAGTGGTGTAATCTACAATAAGCTGCATTTCCATGCATTTGCAACCCAAAAGTTAATGAGATTGCGATCTGGACTGAATAAACATAGGCAATGTGAAAGGACCCTTAATATAAGTTCTGCCAGTAGTGCAAACTACCGGTATGGTCTTAATCACTTGAAATTAATCACTTGAAATTTTCTTGGCTAAAAACACATATTAAACAGTTATCCCAGTCACCTTTGCCTGTCATGGACCCTGGAGCCACAACATGTTTTCAAACAACTGAATGCCACCAGAAGCTGTGATCAGTCAAGACTTCTGAGTATCTGTTTACTGTGTGTTTGAGACATGCAGACATCCTTTGAATGTTACTGGGGGAAAATGTGCTTAGGCACATGTCTCTGATTGTAATGTATGCAGCTACCTCTAGTTACTTTACATTTTTAATGCCTTCTTTGCCCTAGAAATTCTTCAGTTAGGCACCAGCAGCAATTAGAATGGCAGTTAAAAACTTTAAAACCTCCTCTTACTGGAGCCAACTCAGGTGCTGCTGCACAGCAGACACCATCTTCATGCGTGCTTGCGCCCCTCCTTTTTAACTTTTTCCTGAGGGACTAGGCTCCGTTAACTCAGTTGGATGGACACTGTCCTAAGTTAGGCTCCACCCATATACCAATCTTACTATATGCAGATGATGCGGTTCTGCTTTCTTGCACTCGTGTGGGTTTACTACGACTTCTAAACAGCTGTCAGGATTACTGTAAAATCAATCAATTAGAACTAAAGTACAAGAAATCAAAAATCTTAGTCTTCTCAAAATCCAGGAAGCAATTCACATGGAGGATTGGCGGTCATAAGCTTGAACAAGTAAGTTACTTTAAGTATCTAGGTCTTTACTTTCACGCCACCACAATTTGGACTCTCCAGTGCAGGATAGCAATTAACAACCTTAATGCAAATATCCGTGCCCTTCTACGGTTTTATTTTTCAGAGGGAATCAATTTGTGCCATCTGTGTTAAAAGTATTTATTAGAAAAATAGTGCCCCAATTACTCTATGGAGTCCCTGTTTGGATTGAGGCAGTCAACAAGTCAACTGAACAGGTGCACACAAGCTTTCTATGGGAGATACTAGGTGCCCCCACCCTGTGCCCCATATGAAGCCCTCTGCTTGGAATGTGGTCAAAGTCTTATGTCTACGAGAGTATGGCTTATGACCTTCAAATATTGGGCTCTATTGCACTATAACTCCGATTCCACCAGCTAGAGCTGTCAGATGTTAATTGAGACTGAGGGTTCACCCTGGCTTGCCATCATAGGGAAAAAAATTGAGAACCTTGAATATCCCTCTTGAATCTAGGTTGATGCTTTCAGAAACGGAGGTGCTTCACAAAACACAGTGCAGATTATTGGAGACAGAGTTGTGGAATTTGTATAATGCAGCCAATAAGACTTGTTCTCCCCTGAACCATGGAATATTTCCCATTGTAGGGTGCCTGCCCAGTTATTTTTTTCCAACTGCAATCTCCAAAATCGCACAAAGTTTTTTCACTGGCCGGGCTTAATGTTTTACCCTCGGCAATTTTATTTGGAAGATTCCAGGGTATTCCCTATGCCAATAGATCTTGCCCTTGTACAGGTAAAACTATCAAAACAGTGTACAATGTTTGAATGTTGCTATTATTCTGGTATCAGGCAGCGTATTTTATCACCAATTTTGGGTAGTGTTAAGTAGCACTGAGGAAAGGATAATTGAACCGGTGGCAAAGTTCTTACTGGCTGCTTCCCTTATACGCAGTAAAATTTTGTAAATGGTTAATGCAGGGTACTTTTAATGAAAATTGTATCTTGTCTAGAAATTGAATTTTACTTCTTAGATATTATTTTTTACTTCTATGAAATGCCATTAAAGGAACTGTTCGTGTGTGTGTGTAATACCTTCTAGTAATGCATTCTTGTAATGAAACTTTCACTGAGTGCTTTTGTATGTGAAGTTTAAATAGCTTTGGAACCCCTCTTATGATTTTTATGACCTGATAGTAGTTAGTGCAGAAGAGAGGCATTTGTCATGCAAATTAACATTCTACCCCATTCCCTTGAACTGGAGTTTACAGTCACCAGTTGAAGTCAAAACAATTGACTTCAACTGTCATTAAGTGTCATTGTTGCTAATGGTGATGGGGGAGCTCTTGATCTTTCATTTCTTAACTGAAATTAACTGATTTATTATCAAACAGGGGCTTGGAACGGATGAAGACACTTTAATTGAAATTATGGTAACAAGGAACAACAGAGAACTCAGAGACTGTAACAGAGCATATCACGACGGTAATTTCCTGGTAGTTTTGAAACAATAACTTAAAGAATATCCTATTGGAGGAGAGCAGAGTTCTGTTGAACTACTGTGTGTACGTGTCTTGTCAAGTATCTGGCTAGTATAAGCTTATGGTATTTTTTTAAAGCATCTGGCCAGTGTAGTGCATCGCACGCCATCAGGCAACTTTGTCATCCTTTCACTATGAGGGTATGTGTGTATGCAGTGATTAGTGTGCTGAACTAGGCTGAGCTGCTTTTTCCTCAGTACCTGTGCACTGTGAGAGAATTTAAGAAATGGGACTTAAATCCGTAAAAGAGTTGGCATTTCTCAAAGGCTAAGTGGCTACTAAGGGTTCTAAGCTTTTGCTTCTATTGTACCAACTGCATATAAAACAGTGCTGACAATGCAAAAGATGAGGAAAAAATTAGACCATGCGAATGTCATTACAGTCTTTTGGAGGGGCTGCAGAGCATGTGGTTTGCCTGCAGGAGGTTTCGGGTTCAGTCCCAATAGTTGCCACTTAAATGCACCTCAGGCAGCTGGTACGGGGAAATAACTTTCTTTGCTTGAGACCTTAGAGCACCACCACCAGTACTGAGCTAGATGGATCAATGGGCCTATTGAACTTTTAATTGAAATGCTGTAGTAACTGGAGTGCCAGCTTCCTTCCCAAATGCACATTTCCCCCATTGAGTCAGTCTGTGTGCATTGTGTTGGAAGAGTCACAATTCTATACGAATGATGGACACATTATTTCAAAAGGGGCATTTTCTCAAGATAGCATAGGGAATAGGAAGGTCAACTGTTGAAGAAGGTCAACATGATTATTATTTTCTTTAAGGCAATATGATTCCACCAGTGCTTGTTCATTTGTTTGCAGAGTTTAAGAGAGATCTTGCCAAAGACATTGCATCAGATACATCCGGAGACTTCCAGAAAGCTTTGCTTGCCCTAGCAAAGGTATGCAGTTTTCAACCACATGTGGTAAACCAAAACTTGGGGGTGGGGATTAGAAATTCTTCTTTCTTCTCTTCCTAGCTCTTCCAAGGTTGTAGTGTATAATGAGGCTGACAGGTAATGTTTAATCTTTTCCAGGGAGACCGTGATGAAAATCCTCATGTGAATGATGAGTTGGCAGATAATGATGCAAGGGTAAGAGAAGACTTGCATTTTGAGCAATTGGTGTGTAAGTGGGGGGTGCAACCACCCAAAGTTCGGCTGCCCCAAAGGAGGGGGGAATTAATACTGATTTTGCTCATGCCTATATTGCAATATTTGTTATGTGATTTTGTGTGTGTAAGTTGCTGCAACGGCATTGGCTGATAGAGGGTTACAGGAATAGGAGCAGTAGCACACAATTTATGGAAACCATGGGTCCACGAATATTTATCTGCCTTATTAGCTGTAATTTGTGGTTCACAGCAACCGAACTTCTCCTCTCTCTCCAGTGTTTTGAACATGCTGGAGAACTCAGAGGTAGGGATGGGCACGAACCGCACTGCACAGCAAATTTTTTTGCGATTTTTGTCATATTTGTGGTTCATGAACAGAAGCTCATGACAGGTCTACCATCATGAACTTCCATGAACTGTTCCCCGTGAAAGCTGCAAAAACAACTGAGTGGCAGAGAGTGCTCAGCTGTTTTGGGCTGTCTTCTGCAGTCCCTTTAAACTGCATTGAAAGGGACTGTGGTCACTTTCAAAGGGGTTTGCGGGGCCATGAACTGGTTTTGTTCGTGAACTCATCTTGAACATCACCATGTTACATGTTAATTTGCTGTTCATTCTCTGGCTATAAGTTTGAACCTTGCCTGCCATTCTAATGTATTTGATAAAGTGTGCATGCACACGAAAGCGCATACTTTGAATAAACCTTTGTTGATCTTAGGGTGCCATTGGGCTCTAAATTTGTTCTACTGCTTCAGACCAACACGGCTGACCAACTGGATCCATATTCTTTAATATCACTATAAATAAACTAGAGCAAGTTGTTGTTTTTTTAAAAAACCCTCCATTGAACTGCCTATCTATTGGCAGGAAATTTAGGGTAGTTCCCTTCATGACAGCTGTCAAGTACAATATACAAAAGAAAAGATAGAAATAAAGTTAGAGTTTCAGGGAACACTACACGTTGCACATAAATGCATATAGCAAACCCCACCAAGGGGTTTTGTAAGCCCCTTATAAGCAAAAGCTATTTTGGACAGGGTGTTTTGAATAGAGAGAGGCAAAGGAAAGAGATGCTTTCTCCATTTGCAGTTGTTGTTTTTTTTGCTTCAAACCCACCTTCCAAGCTGCTTTTCTCTCATGGGGTTCCATGGGAAAGCGCCTGGGGCAGAAAAATGGCTGGGAAAGAAAGGGTGAGCACCTCATCCTCTTCCTCTTGTTCTACTCTTCAAGTCAGCCCCTCCTGAATATATGAAACATCTTGCAGTTTTCTTTTGTACTTCAGTGGTGTTTGCTTCATTTGTTCCACGTGGTTTGGAGCAGAGAAACAAGAAATAATAGTCAGAGTCAAACGGGTCAGTTTTTGGGTGAAATTGTTGTTCTTTTACAGGGATCAAAAGCTGTTCTGTAAATAAGGATTGTTACTTATGACACTTAATAAAAGCTGTGTATCTGCAGCTGTGAAAATACAGCTTTAGTCTTGGAGAAAAGACTAAATCCCTGTGGCAGTTTCTCAAATCAGCTTTCACAAGGACACACTTCATTTTTTAAAAATGTTGCTACAACAAATGAAAGTCATCCTATGAATTTGATGATTCAGTCACCAAGAAATAAAAAGCAGTACTTGATACCCATTTTAGCCATGTTGACTGCAAACATTGGTTGTGCAAGTGGAGATGTGAGAGTGTTGTGTTGTGGAATGTAATCATCTCACTTTCAAGGAGACTTAATGTGATCCAGAAGATTTTTGGTTTGAATCTTAGCTTGGACATGAATTGGGTAGAGGATCTTAAGCAAGCTGCAATCTTTCAGTCTTCCCAGTGCCTTCCTGCAGTTGGGATAAGACTAGGAATCCTATGGAATGGTCAAACATTTACTAGATTATGGAATGTAATGGTGGGGAGAGGAAGGGTCTTGGTTTCTAACTGGAATACCATTGTGCAGTCTAATGGTGCTAATACACAATATTAAGGAACTTTCATGTACATTTTTCTGGTTTATTATAACAGGCCTTGTATGAAGCTGGAGAGAGAAAAAAAGGAACAGATGTTAATGTTTTCGTTACCATCCTTACTACAAGAAGTCATCAACATCTCCGAAGAGGTAGGTGAGAAGCAAGCGAGCTTTGTTGATGAAAATGATTTTATTTACATGCCACGTGCAAGGGGTGATTAGAAATACGAATTCAGCTGCAGGATCTAAACAAGTATTCATCTGGGTAATAGATAACAGCCTACATTTAATCACACTAACTTAAATGTTCAGCCCCCTTAAGAAAAGGGAACCTTGCCTCGTACTTGGGTTGCCAATCTCCAGCTGGGGCCTCTGGAGAAAATGGCTGTTTTGGAGGATGGACTCTATGACATCATACCTCACTGTGGTCCTTCCTCTTCCCAAAACCCGCCTTGCCCAGGCTCCACCCCCAAATCTGCACAAATTTCCCATCTCAGAGTTGGCAGCCCTCGTTCTTAAGACACTTGCCCCAGGTTGGAATATGAATCTATCCAGGGTAGCAAAACATTCTACCTGCTCCAAAGATTTTTTTTGCCATTAAAGCTGCATAAACATCTATCCACATCTTTTCTAAAAGCACAATTTTCTGTTACATTAAAAAGTTCCATTCCAGCCTAATGAGCCAAGTACTGGACTTTGCATTGTAGCACGAAATTACAGGATGATTTCAAAATGTTTTTCCTTGCTGTTCGGTTCTGAAAATCCCCCTTTTGATTTTGCAAATGGAACTCAGTTTTTTTATTTTCACACAATTTCTTCCAATTAAGATGCACATTTATTTGAATGATATTTGTGCAACACCAGATCAGCAGGGCAGCACATCAGCTCTCTCTCTTTAGGCCCTTAATACATCTCGGCCCGCATGAACGGGCTGCTGGAATACATCTCAGCCGCATGAATGGGCTGCCGGAACACATCTCGGCCTGTACGAAACACCGAATGGTTAATGCTGTTGTCTGTATATTGTACGCCACCATCGTTATTATTATCAACACCATCATTGTCACGGTTAATGGTTGTTGTTTGCATTTACTCTGTATTTTAATGTATTTATTGTTCTAATGTTTTAATGTTGTTAGCCGCCTTGAGCCAGTTTTGTGGCAAGGCGGAATATAAATCGAAATAATAAATAAATAAAAATTAAAGGACTTTTCCTCATTTTCTGCTGAGCTGTAGTTTTACAGAAAAAAGAGGGAAGAGCTGGGGGCAGTGGCAGCAGTCAGCAACACAGGAATAGGGTGTGTGTGGATGGATGCCATTCACACCCATTCCTGCTCTGCCTGTTTCCAAGGCAGTTTGTGCACCCCATTGTTGATGCAGTCTAGTTAGCAAAAAGAGAACTAAGCCAAGTTCCTTATTTCACTTTAATTTATTGACATCTCTTCAATCCTGAAAATTCACAGATTAATGAGGCACTTTGGGTCCTTGGAAACAAAGTATCATAACCCAGGAAGGAGAAACACACACAGGGATCTCTAGGCTGCGGGATCAGTGTAGTGCAATATTTACAGTGTAGAGTTTTGCACCTGGAAAACCCAGATTGAAATCTTTGCTCAGTCTTCTCTGAGTTTTGGGCATGTCATCATCTTTCATTCTACTCTTCCATATTAGGTTGTGGGAGTTTGAAATGCTACTCTAAACTTCTTGGAGTTTGCTAAGTATATTTTAATAATTATATCCTGTAGAATGCAATAGACAAATAATGTGGATCTCATCGAAGCATAAGTATGCCTGGCCTCTACATGGCTTGGCTTCAGGAGAGCACAGGGCTTGTGAAACAGAAACTTGCACTTGAAGAACATCTTTAGCTCATCCAGCAATGATAAAAAGCACTATAAACCAAAGTGACCTTAATAGAGAGCAAGAGTACAAGAGTCCGTTGATATGTCATTTCCTGACCATATGAAACTGACTATAAATGAATAGCTGCAGTGTTTGTGCACTCAGCATTCTGCAGAAATTGCATGATTTATGGTTCTTATCTAAGTGCAGAGGAAGTAAATGTGTGGCTCAAATTTTCTGTCTTTATGTTTTGTTTTCAGTTTTTCAAAAATACGCTAAATATAGCAAACATGACATGAACAAGGTTCTGGACCTGGAACTGAAAGGAGACATTGAGAACTGCTTGACAGCAATTGGTAGGTTCTATAATTACTTGATTTGCCCCTTTATTTACAAACTGCCAGATAAATAAGCAGTGGCTTTAAGTGAACACAGGAAATAGCCAGACTCTTCTAGCAGTGATCAGGCTGCTTCCTTAAGCAGCTACAGTGACGAGGGTGCAGGAAAAGATGGCTCCACAGACATCGTCATAGATTTTGGAGCTTGGGCAAAACTGATTCAACACTAAGGCCCAGGTGAGACAAGATGCATGGTCGTATGTATCTTTTCCTGGATTTTTTAAAAACCAAAAGTATCCTGCAAATTTTGACTGAGGAAGTTTGAGGAGAGATGGACCTACTTCACCCTTTTCCCTCTGGATATTTTTCCCCCATTCAAAATATACCCCCAGGGCTCAACAGGAGCAAAATCTGCAACATCACTTCTGCTTGTACCCAGTAGTGTTATCTTGATGCTCTAGGAATTTCCTGATTCATAAAGCATTGCAGTGTCACTCCCTGTCCCCCTGTTTTGCTCCCAAAGAACAGACAGTCCTAGCAGGGCTTGAAGCTGCTCCTGGCAAATGGCAACGCTAACCCAGGTGCAAATGAGGAAGCTGGTTGCCACAGCAGTCCAAGGAAGAGGAGGTCCATGTATGCCTCCTATATATCCAAATGTATCCCCTCCTGCTCTGTGCACAAGCACATTCAATAGGGCAAATAACTAGAATAGCATAGGGGAGGAAGAGGAGATGAGGACATGGTGACCAGCATTCACAGACCTCTCTCGGTTACCCCATATGCTGTTTCCTGAAGTGTCCTCCAATGTAGTGAGAGGAAGAGAAACAGTGCTGGGGGTGGGTTGCTCTAAATCATCTCTGAGCTGTTTTTCTGCTCTCTTCAAGTGCTTCCAAATGACTGATGGGTCATTTAGAGCAACAACAAAAAAAACAACTAGCAGAATGTTCGGGTTCATCTCACTTTTACTTCTCTGTACAAAATGGTCCGTACTTGAAGCTGCTTTACATACAAACAGTAGCTGTTTGGGCTTGGTTACATGCATTTCTGTGTAATCTGTAGTTTGCCTTTAATTACCTCCTGCAGTGATTAGACTATGGCTATGTTTCCGTACAGGTTACTTGCGCCAGGTTCGATGCTGTGGGGGAAAGGGGGGGGGACCCACTTGATGGTGCTTTCATGCACCTCCCCGGTTTCTATCAGGTTCTCTGAATTTCCAGCTTTCCTTTATTTTAGTCTCTAGCCCCCTTTCATAAGGAGAAGGAAAGGCATCTCTCCAAACAAGAAGGTCTGGAGACTTTAAAAATGAAAGTGGAGGAATTTAGAGAATTTAGAGAACCTGATAGTTGCTGTTGGAGCAGAGGAAAGACTCTGAAAACTGCCATGTGGAACCTCCACTGCTGTTGTGCTGTATCAGCAGGTGCAGAAGCACCAGGGAAACTATACAAGCCTCTCTCTCACTAAATCCATTTTCACTGCACTGTCCAACTGGATTTTGCCAGTAAACACAGTAAACTCCAGGTGGAAAGTGCATTTAAAGTGGATTGAAGGTGGATTATTTAGTTTGTGTGACTGCAGCCTCTGTGTGGAAAATTCCTACATGAAGCAACATGCAGTTTTCATTTCCTGAATCTGCTTCTGTCGATATATGTTGTTTCTGTTATGCTGTTGTTATAAATAAAAATTCTGTTGCATTCCAGTGAAAGCTGCCACAAGCAAACCAGCTTTCTTTGCTGAAAAACTCCACCTAGCAATGAAGGTAAAGTATATTGCCAATAAAGGGATTAGAAGAGAACTCTGTTTTAAAGATACATGTCGAAATTGAGGTTAATTTATTTACCAGCGTGGTGTAGTGGTTAAAAGCAGTGGATTCTAATTTGGAGAACTGGGCTTGATTCCCCAGTCCTCCACATGAAGCCTGGTCCAGTCATAGTTCTCTTTAAACCTTCTCAGCCCCACTTACCTCACATGGTGCTTGCTGTGGGTAGCTCCCTCCCTGAAAAAAAGCCTGCAACCTGAACCCTATTAAAACCCCTGGCAAATAAAATAGCCTTGCAACAGTTCCTAAGTGCATCTAGAGATTGTCCATCTCGACCCCAGAGGGGCCAGTTCCATGCATTGGGAGCTATGATGGAAAAAATGCAGGCTCTGGTTGATACCAGGTGGGCCACCTTAAGTGGGTGAACAGCTAGAAGATAGCAGCCTGAAGATTGTAGTCGTTGCGAGGGAACCTATAGGGGAGAGATGGTACTTTAGATATGTGGATCCTAGGCTGTGAAAGGACCTAAAGGTCATAATCAGCACCTTGCACTGGACTTGGAAACAAACTGACCATTATTGCAGCTGTTTATAAATGAGATGTTCCCATTGACTAGTCCCAACAGTAAGGTTAGATTTTATCGGCTTATTTATTTATTTATTTATTTATTTATTGTTTTGATTTATACCCCGCCCTCCCTGCAAGCAGGCTCAGGTTATACATGCATGCGTGGAAGATTTCCATGGACTTTGGGTGAACTGTAAAACATAAAAATATACCAAAGAACCTCTTCTGCAGGTAGTTGTATGTATGATACCATGTAGGGTTGCCAGCTCTAGGTATTTTGGGTGGAGGCTGGGGAGGGCGCAGTTTGGGTAGGGCAGGGAGCTCAGCAGAGAGGTAATGCCATAGAGTCCAGCCTCTGAAGCTGCCATTTTCTCCAGGAAAACTGACCTATGTAGTCTGGAGATCAGTTATAATTCTGGGAGGTCTCCAGACTCCACCTGGAGGCTGGCAACTTTAGTCCACTGAACAAAGCTGAAGCCTTTCTGCTAAAAAGACTTCCTCCATTTTAAGTGGCTCTCTCATTGGGTTGAAGCCTTCATAGACTGAAGGAACTTCCTGTAGCCAAAGATAGCATACATGCCAGTGGTTGGAACCCAAAATGAGATATTTTGCTCGAATATTAGGATTCCTAAAATGAGAGGAATCCTAAGCAGGTCTGCTCTGGCCAGCTACACAAGGCATTTTTTAATGGGTCAGGTACAGTGTCCCTGGGCCTGACTTGCTTTCCCCGCAGCCATGTGATAGCTGCAGCAAATGTCACTTTTAAAGTTGTGAGGGCCCAGTTTGGCTTGGGACCACAGCATGGGGAAAGGGAGCTCCTGTCCCCCCCCCGCTAAAACTGCCCCAACTTGTTTTAAAAGTAACAGGGTACTCCATGTATTGCTTCAAAGTTATGTAAATAACTCCTCATTGTGGTAGTTTTGGCTTCAGAAAACAGAACGGGGGGGGAGGGGCAGCAGCCCCTCCACCACCGATGCTACATTCCTGAGCCATGTCAGGCCTTTTAAAATGATGTTCCCTGCAGCTGCTGTGTGGCTGCCGGGAACGTGGGTCAGGACTCAGTAAAAAATGCTTCAGAAGTAAGTCCCATTCTATTCTCTCAGGAAAATATTCTTAGGATTGCAGTCTGTAGCTTGGTCTGTATTGTCATTTTATGTGCTGAATATGCCATCAACGTGCATCTTTTGTTCCTCACATATGCAGTATTTCTCTATCAGTGAGCTTTTATTTGGTTGTATCTCTTACTGAGGATGGGTGTGCTGTCCCTAGTACTTAAAACCAGACAATTCATACTCCTTGGTTTTCCCTATCCAACCAAACCTCATGGGGTCACCCCCAACAGTGCAATCCTGAACAGAGTTGTAACTGTTTAGGATTGCATTGTAAGCTCTAATGGAGCCTTAATGACTGAAGCAGATGGAATTCCAGAGTGTCATTTAAAGTAAATTCAATTGGGCAGAATAGCATATGTAAAAGGGCCTGTTTCGCTCCTACCTGTGATACCTATGATATGCCCTTTGTGTTCTTGATACTGTCATAACCTAACCACTGGAGGACAGTCAAAACACCTGCAAATTCAGAACTTTAGCAAGAATGCTGTTGACATGAAGTTAAGGCTTAGATAACACACTCCTTCCTTGTCTAACAGGGTTCTGGAACTCGCACCAAAACTCTGAACAGGATCATGGTATCACGTTCTGAGATTGACATGAATGAGATCAAAGCACATTACAAGATAATGTATAAGAAACCCCTGGGCCAGGCCATTATGGTATGTAATTTGTTTTCAATTGCAGTAATGTAAGTGCTCCATAAACTTGGCTGGATGTTTCAGCATTTCCTTTTTCTCTCTATTGCTATATTTATTTCATAACTGCTCAGTAATAGGAAGGAGAACTTTGAAGATCCTACACATCCCTTTGCTGGCTGCTACCTTATAAAAATAAAAAATGATAACACTGAAAATAAAAAATAGCTACATGGCCCTGTTGTTTAAACCCTCACTATCTATACAACAGGCCTATAGGCAAAATTAATGTTCCTTTAACAGAGGTTTAATATGTGGAAATGGGGAACTGTCACATATCATAAGATGGAGACAAACATATGGTAAATGCCACCCCATCAAGCTTCCTGTTAAAGGGGCAGGATATTTTTCCTCCAGGCAGTTGATAGCTCTTGCTGTTATACAAAACAGATTGCTAAAAGAGATGTCTGGACGGGTCCCTTATTGAGCAGGTTTATAGGGTTTTTTGGAGCTTGATAGCCATCTGTCAACAGAGCTAAGCTGTAGGCTTCCACAAGGCTTGAAGAATGTTCAGTGATGCTCAGTGGAACAACAGAATTCACGCATAAAGTTCCACTAACCTAGGGAACTGTTCTTTAGCTTGTTAGCTGCAGTCAAAGTCAAAGAAATAAGAACCAAATGAATTGGATCCAACAAGGTTTCTGTTGGTGTCGTCTTTCACCACCCAAAAAGAACCACAGGATCTGTTTGTACAAAAGGCCAGGGGCATGGGGGTGCTGTAGTATGGAGGCGAATCGGGTAAGACGGAGTGGAAAAGCTTGCTTGATCCAGCCCATGGTATTGGTATTTGGAGACAAATCTTATACTGTGTCTGCCAATTAGGAGCTTTCGGTTTGGGTGGTTACTTAAACGTGACATTGCTCTTTTGCTATTTTGTGTATAGGATGAATTAAAAGGCGACTACGAAACTGTTCTCGTGGCTCTGTGTGGTGAGGACTGATGAGCACCATATCTGTCTGATACACGCCTGCCTCTCCATGCTTATTTTTAGCTCCAGCTGTTACATACCTTTGTATACTAAAGCTTTAAACAGAGAGGGATCTCTGGGTTCAGTTGTTAACAAATCACATGGATCTTCATCCATGTAGCATAACCTGCTTTGTTGTTCATGTTCATCCAAAGCCAGAAAGTATGATAAGAACAGATGTGTCTGCTTTTGTAGGGTTAGCCAATGCAAAAAAGGTACAGAATAAGCCTGAGCAGCCAGAAGTGACATTCCAAATAAAAAATAAACTGTGATCTACGTTGCTGACTTGTTTCTATCATTGTCGATTTCAGTCTTGTGCCTGTTATGTTTTCTTTAAGCATTCAGAGTTGAAGCACTAAAATCTTCCTCCTGGATTTGCCCATTCTCCTAGATACCCCAAGGCGATCTTTGTCCAAGCTGAGCTGTTTTACTCCAGGGGCAATTTCGCACTAGAGCTGCCTCACGGCACAGCTGCCGTTTGCCCCGAAACAAACATGTCAATTTCACACCCGAAGCTGCGGGGCTGCATTTTGACTCGCGGCTTCGCCCGATTCCTTCCGCAGTTTCGTGATCCTGGTTTTTGAGGGTGTGAAATTGACAAATAGTGTCGGGGCAAACAGCGGCTGCGCTGCGAGGCAGCTCTAGTGCGAAATCGCCCCAGCTGTATCCCATCCTTATTTTCTTCAGTGCTGAATGTCCCTGCATCAGCAGCAAGCTCTTCCCCAGCAAATCATTATGGGCTGAAATTTAGCCTGAGCTACAGACTGTTGGCTGTGTTCATTCATGTTTTTTGCAAAGTTTAATTCAAACAGGATCTGGGGAGTGGGAGCATGGTTGGTTTCTCATTCTACAGGAAATAATAACTACAATAACTAATAACTATCCCTCTTACAGCAAACAAGATAAGCCCTGCAACATAACTCTCTACCTGATTTTCACATCTGAGTAACAACTGGAGTCCTCTACAAGCAACAGCTTAGATTAGTTTCAATTAAAGCTGGGCTTAGCTAAAGCACAGGAAGAGGAACTACCAGTTCTGCATTTCAAAAATGTGCTGTTCTCATTTTGTTCTGTAACCAGGAGATGACACAATAGGTTTTTTCTTAATACGTTTCACTCTCATTTTGATTCACGCTGTTCCCACTTGTGCCATGTAATAATTAAACACTCTGAGTTTTGCAGCAGATCCTGGATCTGAGACCTGAGGGCTAAGGAGCAGCGAATTCAGCTCGCTTGCTGACATTTTGCTTCAGAAGGATCAGCTAGGTCATCAAGGAAGCCCTCTTCTTAATCTTAAAACCAACACACGAAACCAGGTTTGCTCATTATTCTGAGCATTCTGCTCTTGTCAGTGAGAGCAGTCCACCTGTTGCCTTTTTGGTTTTCTAGCCTATTTTCCCGTGCCTTTTTTTCACCTGTGCCTCTGGTTTGATGGGGCCAGGACTGATAGTGATTTCCCTGATGTTGTTTAACATCTATATGTGCCCTCTTGCCCAGATCATCCGGAGGTATGGGCTAGGGTGTCATCGATATGCGGATGACACCCAGCTCTATCGATATGCGGATGACACCCAGCTCTATCGATACGCGGATGACACCCAGATGACACTCCAGCCCAGAAGATCTGAACTGGGCATTGCAAACTGTGGCTGGTTGGCTTAGAACAGGGGGTTCCGCTGCTGTGCTTAATAGTTTTCCAAGGCATTCCACTGACATTGATGTGCACTAGGGCTGCCAAGTCTCGTTGAATCGCGGCAGGGGATCATCATTCTTCACAGGAGCTCTGCTGCGGGGGACGGCAACAGGTGTTGCACCGCTGTCGCCAGGATGTAACGCTATGCGTCGCTCTGGCAACGGGACTTCAAATAGCCCCGTTGCCAGAGCAATGCATAGCGTCACATCCTGGCGACGGCGGTGCAACGCCTGTTGCCGTCCCCCGTGGCAGAGCTCCTGTGAAGAATGACGATCCCCCGCCGCAATTCAACGAGACTTGGCAGCCCTAATGTGCATTCACTGCCTGCTTTACAGGCTTTGCTTCTGTTTTCACATACACACCTCTGACTGGAACTGGGCTTATGACCAGCTCTGTAGAGAAAAGCTTGGTACATAGTGTAATGTATCCAGTCCAGACAAGTCCAGAGACAAATGCAGAACTTCGCTCCAAGAGACAATGGACTATGCAGATCCTAGCCCGCTCCAATCAGGGGGCTAGGTTCCCGGCTGAGAGCCTATGGGACTCTCGGCCACTGTAAATAACCTATAGGGAAGTAGGGGTGTATTTCGGGTGGCGGTTTCTCGGGGGATATAAGCCAGCCTGCGAGTCGGCCAAAGTCGTCTTGTTCCAGATCGAATAAAGTACGCTTTGCTGAAATCACTCTCTATCCGCGTACTTTTCACATAGGATAAGGGAACCTCCAACACATGAAAACTGGCCAACCATTTGATGTTCTAACTTAGTATGGAAAATTATTGTTGTCTAAATGACCTTTTCCTATGCTCACCTAATCTTACAGAGCTGTCTTTTCTGTAGAACTAGGGTTGAGGGGACAGAAGCAAAAGGAAGATCCATGCCATCTTCCCTATCTTGACCTATGAGATCTGGATGATGGCACAAAGAGAATAACTGAGGGTGCTTAATTATAGTGTGCTATCATCACCCCAGACAGATTTAGGAACTGGGCACTAGAAAACCTGTCCGAACTAGATTTGAGTGATTTGAAAAAGGGGGGGGGGGGGGGAGAGACATACCAGAAGCCTCAGTTTTCAGTCACCATTTCTCAATCTTGTATCAAGAAGTGAAACATTGTACTGTACACAACATATCTATCCAGAAGGCTACAAAATACTTGCTTGGCAGTATCATCAAAATTGAATAGTACATCAAAATGTACAAAGATAAAATGGAATTTATGAAATGGAGCGTTACTTAACCCATACATATGACAATCAGGCAACAAACTAACATGGATATTGTTGACCTATCTACAGAACAAAGCAACCTGGTAAAAGTAAGATAAAGTAACTTAATGGTGCAGATTAAATAATAATAATAGTTTACTTTAGGGTTCATTTGCAATTTTGCCCATCTCATCTTGAACTCTCAGAGCATACTACAGCGTTTAAAATGAAACATAAAAGATGGTTAACCATTGCAGTTCTGCTCCATTAAGACTGCCCTGGAGTACTGAAGATTCTACTGAACCATGCTCCAAATACGTAATAGCAGTCCTCAACTTAGCATCATAGGCTAGTAAACAAGCTCTTTGTTTCCCTGAGGCTTGGCAGTGACAGTGAGTTTGTCATCCAGATGAATGCCTATTGGCTGGGTCAGGATTTCATCAGTGAGGCCTGAGGCCAGATCAAAATCCAGCAAAACTGGATTACCCTGCATTCTGAGTGCACCTTCATTGTAATTTTCACAGTGGAGGGTGACAAGCAGTGGGGTACTGCAGGGCTCAGTACTGGGTCCAATGGTTTTTAACTTCTTCATTAATGATTTGGAGTTCGGAGTAAGCAGTAAAGTGGTAAAATTTGCAGATGACACTAAATTGTTCAGGGTGGTGAGAACCAGGGAGGATTGTGAGGCACTGCAAAGGGAGCTGTCGAGGATAGGTGAGTGGACATCAACGTGGCAAATGGGGTTCAATGTGGCAAAATGCAAAGTGATGCACATTGGGGCCAAAAATCCTTACTATAAATGCATGTTGATTGCGTCCGAACTGGCAGAAACTGACTAAGAGAAAGATCTTGAAATCGTAGTAGATAACTCACTGAAAATGTCAACTCAGTGTGTGGCTGCAATAAAAAAGGCCAACGCTATGAGTCTGAGTCAACTGTGCGACTGAACAACAACAACAACAACAACATGGTGGGGAATATTAGGAAGGGAATAGAAAACAGATCAGCCAGTATCATAATGCCCCTGTATAAATCGATGGTGCGACCTCATTTGGAATACTGTGTGCAATTCCGGTCATCACACCTCAGAAGGGATATTATAGCATCGGAAAAAGTGCAGAAAAGGGCAAACAGAATGATAAAAGGGTTGGAACACTTTCCCTATAAGGAAAGGTTAAAGTGCTTG